GTTAAGAGGCATTTGTTTTGACCTTTTAAAAATAATTATTAGTTATTAATTTTAATTAAATGAATTAAATATTTTAAATTATAAATATTAATAAAGTATCAATTGCCAAATATTAATTATCAATTATTAATTATTTTTTAAAAAATTATTCCAAATAGCCTATTAATATTTAACTGTTGTGAGTCCCACCAGAGTCCAGCCGTTAATGATCAAGTAAATTGTTTGCTACCTCAAAATTGCACAGAACTTATATAGAGGGATGACAATGATTCCTTTTTCAATACCAGGGGACGACATGTGTGGTTAATTAATAGTGGAGGGAGGATATGAGGTGAATTAAAAGTAGAAGGTTTAAATTGAACTTTTTTTGATAGTAGAGGGATGATAGTTGACATTAACCCTATATATATATTTATGACAACACTATTTGGGTTTGGTAAGATGCCCTTCAATGGAATAACTTGCGTTTTATAGTTTGGCGTAGTTGCGATCGTAAATCACCAGATTTCTATATACCTTATCTCAGAGTAAAAGTGTGGATAAATATGCTAATTTTGTAATTTTTTTTATTTAAAAGTGTTAATTTTATTTTTTTAATTTAAATATATTAATTTTATATTTTTTATTTAAATATGTTAATCTAATGTTTTTCATATTAACATCACTATTTAATTAATTTTTAAATACAAAAATTAAAATTAAAATTTTTAAATAAAAAACTTTAAAAATTTACTATTTTAATTAGAAATCAATAAAATTTGCATTTTTAAATTTTTTTAAAAATTACAAAAATAGCATCCGTAGGTGCACCTTTTCTTTTTTATCTTATTTAATGTTAGATTACATTACCTATTGCACCAACAATTATTGTAGTTGGTTAATAATCTAAATAACTCATTAGTTATTTCATTTCATTGAACGTAAAAGGTTCTGAGTTGAATTACATGGCATGTAGATGGAGTGGAATAAGAGATGAAAGATTGTTACCTCCCATTGTGTAATCAAAATAAAAAAATATATAATTATTGTAGCTGAATTATTATCTATATATATATATATATACTTGTTTGTATTCTTGTGTGAATATTTGACTTGCTGCACCAAGGATTCGTCGTTTACCCAATTCTCCTTGCTTCTCGATTCAAAAAGCTTTTTAGAGTTTTATCTTTGTAAAGATACGTTTCGAGGGGTAGTTCAACAGCATGTGTTTGTCATCTCTTTATTATGAATCGGCATCCTTCAATGGAATGCGACAGCTGCTTAGCCTGCAAGAAATTCATCTTTAATGTTGTTCTTATCGGCACAATCCAAGCAATCATAATATTAATAGGTAACATCAGTGGACCAAGCTCTGAACAATATTGATATGGCTAAGTGCCATTGAAGCTGCCTGCATATGAAAGCCATGGTTCACGCAGAAAGATGGCAGAGGCAGACCTGATATGGAACAATAGCCAATAACATTCATATCCTGAAGAAGCAAGTTAAAAACTTGAACCTAACAATAGCAAGCACTAATGGGGAAAAAAAAAGGAGAATTCATAATTATAATTAAGCTCGGATTCTAGGAAATTTGTGGGATGTTTTAGCTATGAACAATATTCATGTTCTAATCAGGAGGAGCTCTAGAATGTAGTGCAAGGGGCTTGATCTAGAAGCCAAAAAAAGGGGGGAAATAATAGGTAGTAGTAAAAGGAGAAGATCCTCCATGATTTCTACTCGATAATGTATGTTGTCATTTGGTGTTGACTTCTAAGAGCTATATGGGAGCAGGCACGGAGTAGTTGATATGCAAAGGCTCTGTAGACTGTACTGTTGACATGTAAACAGCAAGCACTTTTATTATGGATGGTGGTTGGCCCAAAAAGAGTGGTACATCTGCATCCCGTTATCATGAATGGATGGAGTGGCAGCATTACTGTAAAACGTCTGGACTCGATGATTTGGGCTACCACCATCACCATTCTCATCAGAAGATTCGCTTGAAGCCCCTTGAGAGGGAGTGCTGGCTGATGTTCTCTGTGCAGCCAAATTCAACATCCGGGGTAGTGAAGGAGGTGCAGATACCAGAACATTTGAGTTTGAATTCTGTTTTTTCCCATCAGCTAAAAAGCTACCCACAATGACCTGACAGGAAATTGGAAATACAGTTAACAATACAAACTTACAAAGATGAAACAAATTCACATCTTTGTAAATCTTAATGTGTCAGAAGACCAAAATGAAAAGTCCAAATCCATTATCTTTGATATCCACATGGAAACCACCAAGTAATAATAGCTTCTAGGGAACAAGTAAAAATTTCATCCCAATGTTACTGTGATGCATGAAACTTGCAAACGCAAAAGGCTTTGTGATACCTGCACTGCTGAAGCTGCTGTTAGCATCCCTGCAACTCCACCACCTAATACTCTACCATCTGAACCCGCCAAAGACACACTTAAATGCCCAGCACCACGATGATTACCATCAATATCAGAAATATGGAGGGAACCTGATAAAGAAATAATTTCAAATCGGCCCTGCAATAAAAACATAGCCATGGTTAAGTTATGCATTCTGCCTCTTCAGAGTGAGCCAAATTTTAAATTGTTCTTCCAACTAGCTCCTAAATCACAAAGATAGCACTTTGATCCAATAAAATAGCTCATCCACGATTAGGGACTAGATACAAAACATGCAATTCCTCGTGCATAAATTATTCAATATACGATTGAGCAAGAGATTCAAGAGTAAGCACTAGAAAATAAAGGAAAACTATAATTGCCTCGCAGATTATCATTATGAATGCCTAGACACATGATCATTAGTCATAATTAACTTTCCATCCCAAAGTGATTCATTTAGATAACAACTGCTTCAACCAAAGTTCTAGGACATCAAAGACGTATTTGGTTCATCAATAGTGCGTAAACAAATGTAAGAACATTAAATGAACACCGGGATAAGTTTCATCTCAAATTACAAAAACTAGAGGTTAGATGGTTATTATTATTACTTTTAGCACACTGTTTCTCAACAAGTTGAGATTTACATAGTATAATTGCACACCTATAACTATAACCTTAACTCAAAGAAAGCAACTTGATAAGTTAAACTTTGGGCTCCCTAATCCCATCCCTTACACAGGTTTAATAAATTAGCATTGAGTAGAATGTTCTAACCACCAGGGTCTTTTCTGAATTGTTCCCTACAGAAAAAGCCTGAGAAATTCAAATAGGTTGAAAGAACTTAATTGACAATTACATTACCTTCATCCTCTGAAGTGGGACTTGAACATTTACAACATTGCAACCACTGAGACTATCATAAACCAGCTCTATAAAGAAGGGCAAATAGCCCCATGCAAATTTAAATATAAAATAGTGACAATTTATGTGAACTAGTTGATCAAAGACTCTTCATTCACAACCGCCAACAGAACTATAAAAAAGGTTAAATGTTTGGATCTTTAAAGAACACAAAATGTACCTCATATGTCACATTACCACCAGACGATGTGGGCTGGCGAAGTGTAACATTGCAGACAGCACCATTTGCAGATAGAATACAAATTGAGCGTGGCCCTTGCTGAGAGAAAGCCCTAATTTTTTCTGCTATGTCCTGAAAACATAAGCACACATCAAAGTGAGGCATGGCATGTGGGTATGATTATCATCAAAGGTATCAGTTCCAATGCACATCGTTTATACACTTACTACTATCCTTTCCACCACAGAAAATACAAATTGGTAATTAACACCAGAAGGAACATATTACCATCTAAGCACTTGTAAATTAATTAAAAAAAAAAAATCCTTTAAGTAATGACTGTATTACTTCTATTGCCATAATTATATTTTCTCTCTCAAATTAATGAAATGAAGTCTTCAAAGAAGACCCCACACTTTATATTAAAACTCTAAGAATGGAGCAACCAGAATAGCAATTGCCACACAGTTTACATTGCCCCAAGTCAACCATTTGGAGCATAGGAGCGAATAATAATAGAATGGAACTCCATGCTTTCCACTTATGTTTAAGGATGACTTGTCAAAACTTATTGCCTTTAGAAAAAACAAATTTTACATTTCTTTGTCAAATATTTTCAGAAAGCGAACACTTTTGAAACACCACTAAAAGGGGGGTTGGGGGGGAGGGATAGAGAATATAATTTCCATGAAAATGAAAATTCTAAAATTAAAAATTTAATGTTCATATCATTTAGGAGCGTAAATAATGCCCTCCATTTAACATATAAAAGAACTCGATTCAAGTGCATAAAAATTCACTTATTCTAGGACCGCAGAGAGGTTTGCTTAACTTTCACAGTATTTTTACTTCCAGCCATGTGAGTGAGGATCATTCAATCTAGAAACTAGAAATAGGCAATTGGAAAAACACCAAACTAGTTTGAGCAACTCAGGACAGAGTAAGTAAAAATTCACAGGGAAAAAGGGATAACATCCCCTTCATCAAAACTACTCCAAAGAACATAAAACAAAGGAAAGCAGGTCACTTTAACAGCCAGCACCATAGCAAACAACATAGAATTTGAGGAAAAAACAAAAGACTCACTTCCCCTGTTTGCACCGTTATTACATGCGGCGTAAATCCTACCCCTCCAGTTCCTCCTGCTCAAAATTAACACAAGAAGGTTACACAATTACACACACATTGGTGAGTAAAATATGTATATGGTAATAAAAAACAAGAATTCTCAACAGTCACCTAGAGCATCCAATTGCCTTTTTCCTGATCCAGGAGGCCTTCCTCGGTTCTTCTTAGAGGAGGGTTCCGAGGAGGCAGGGGTAGCAGCGCCGCCACTGTTCCCGAGCCCAACAGAGTCTGCGTGATTTGAGGAGGAGGACGGAAAAGGAGACGTGGTCGCCAACTGCAGGGAAGTGTTCCCATCAGGAGGGTACTTCCTAGGCCGTCCTCGCTTCTTCTTCGTCGGGTCCGTATTATACCCCATCTGCGGCGATCCATCAAAGCCAGCAGAACCAAGCGAATCGATCGGCTTCTGTTGCTGGGCTGGGTGCGGAGCCAGGGGGTTGAAGGGGAAGCGTGCGGGAATGGTATGAATGGGGTTGGCAGCGATCATGGCAGAGCTGGTGGGGTAAGAAGAGTTGTGACCCATCATCAAGGGCTGCGGCGGTTGTACCTGTAGTGGTGGTCCTGGTGGATGACGAACTTCTCTAGAGTCCATTTCCCAACGAATCCCTTCCGGGTATTCCTTATTCCCCCCTCCAACCCTCAAAAAACAATTGCACGGAAAATGCAGAGCTCTGAAGCTCTTAGAATTGTGTGAATTAATCACTTGGAATAACCAGGAACCGAGGAAGAAAGAGAGAGTAAAGAAGAAGACTTTCAACAACTAGAGGGTGAGAGAAAACCGGAGCCGAAATGGGTAAAATATAAATTAGAAGTGGGGTTTTTGGATTTGGATTTTAGGGTTTTAAGTCTTTGGCAGCAGCTGCATTCATTGCCTCCGGACTCTGCATCAATTCAACAACTAAAATACAAAGTGATCAGAACCCATTTTTTTACCTCACTTGCATTACATTCACTTACAGATATGTTTGCTTAGTACGGACTGAAAAAAAAACATTGCAGTTCGTGGTACTAAAATTATAATAAAACTATATAACAAAATTATAGATATTATCTTTTATATATTAAGTTTTATATATTATATTTATATAAAATTTTAATTATTTATTTTTTATAATTAAAATTATTTATATTTATTAAAAATAATTATTTATTTTATTTAAAAATTTGTGAATATCTCAATTATTAAAATTTCGTATAAATATGATGTGTAAATAGATTTTTCTTTACAATTATTTATAGTGTTTTAGTAATATTAATACTTAATTGTGCAAAAAAAAAAGGTAATCTATACTAAAAAACACCCATTTATATTATAATATGAATATTTAGTTTTAAAAATAAAATAATTATAATAATAAGTATTTTCTAATTTGACAAAATTCTGAATGAAATTATTCATTATTAAGACTTCTAATTTGTTTTAATTTTTAGATAAATATTGAATTTAAGCTCAATCTTAAACATAAATAACAAATATGGTTCCAATTATTCATTTAGACCAAAATTTTACTCCAAAAATGAACTCGAATGTTTTTTGAATTATCAAGTCTAATCCTCCCATCAATCACTTCTACTAAATTCCTCACAGAAATCATAATTGAAATTTTGTGGGGCTCATCAGAATTTTGTGAGAGCCATGAGGACCCTTAAAATAAGTGAAAGCTTGCCAAACCCCAAATCAGTGGTCTTCTTTTTTTTCTTTTTCTCTTTTTTTCTTTTAGTCAACCACAATTCTTTGTTTCACATTTTTCTCCTAATTAACACAACCCCTATTTTAAAATCCTTCCTAAAAGCTCCAAAGGATAGGGTTTGGAGTTTTATGAGATTTAGATGAGCTCCATAAAATTTCAACTAGAATTTCTATTACACACTTAACAAAAGTAACTAATAGTAGGATTAAAATTGATAATTTTTAAAAAGGGGGGGATCATTTTAAGTCCAAATAAAAAATTGAGATGGTATTTATTACTTATGGTGAGAGTTGAATGCTAAATATAGTATCTATCCTTACTTTTTTTTTTGTATTGGACACGATAAAGGGGAAAAAATTGGAATGATCTGATCTTTGATGAAATATATGCAATGTATGATAGAAAAGGGATTCCCCTTCCCTCACGTTCGTTAGATTTTTTTCCTCAGTTCATTTGTAACAAACAAGCAACTTTTCTTATGGTCAGCTATTTATTAAAGTACAAGTCAGATTAGTAGGCAAATTGAGAAAAGAATATTTAGTGCAACTATAAAGAATCCTCCTTAATTGGATTTTTGAGAATCATAATTTTAAATTCTCATATTCTATGTTGTTGGTGTTAAAGTAGTTACGTAAAGACACTCAATGGGATGATGCCCTTGAATTTGTACTTGACCAAAATCTCCCACTCTCAAAATTATTGCGCTAAAATAATGAAAAGTTCCTTTTCCTTCTAATTCAGAGTTCTCATATGCTTGTAAAAAGATGATATCATAGACGTCCCCTTCAATACAATCCACAAGACTAAGATGAAATGGTTCCTTCAGTTAGGTTATGGTGTGGGATAGGGGTAGATATCCTGTCATCTTTGACAGATAAATAATCAACCAACTGCCCACAACATCTTGCAACTACCAGAGGCTGATTGTGCAATAGAAGTTACTAATTTCAGTGTTTCTGGCAGTACAGCACCTTATAAAGGCAAAAAAAGTCTACTAACAATAGAAATGCCATCCAGCAGCCGGTAACAAACCATATTGCTCTTGATAGTCAAATCTAGAGGATCAATATTCATAAGTCGAACAAAAGCAATTACCATCACTCTCAGTCACCAAAGGCACGATCATCACAACAAACTCATGTGACAATGTGGAACAAATCATACAATGTCATAAAGAAAAAAGAGTTCCCGTTTTGTTTTTTCATGATCTAAAAAGGTGGTGGCTAGGCTTTACAAGAAAAAAATACCGACCAAAGATTCACTTCAAATAAATCACATAAACAAAACTCCTCTATGAGCAAGCAACCAAAATAATAATATAATAATTCAATGAACTGGGACACAAGTTGCATGCTTTGAAGGGTAAATGGAGGTACATTCACCTTGTCAGCAAGGCAAAATACATGCTATGATTTGATTCCAGTTAGTGATAGTAGTAAACTCACAATGCTACCCACGTTCACTGAGTCTCCCAGAAGCAATACCATGATTTTAGCACCTAATTTCATATGAACCAGCCTTTGTGATATAACGAACCCACTCAACTGTGTTGTACCCACTCTTCTCCCACACCTGTTAAACATGTATGCACTTAGTACAGCAACTATTAAATCAGCCAAACAGAGGTGGGTCAGAAGACATACCTTAAGGAAACGGACTCGCAAACCAGATGCAGTAAACATGGGAACCTGAAAAGCAGCAAGAGATCCAATTAGTTATTATTTGTGAAGCTAGTTTATCACATGTTCACAAGTGATTCTTATGTCATGCCAGAAAACTCCAAACAAAAAACACAATATTTTACTTGAATTTATCAGACCATCTTACATTTCCTGAGTTCAACTTTTCCAATTTTATTTGGGGTACAGCAGAAGGTAATTCCACTGAATGAAAAACTCATTCACCTTCCCTAATCATTTAATGCCATAAACCACCGAAAGACATGTTCCATCAACCAAATAGAAAATCTAGTTACTCCCTCTGTCCCAAAATAATTGTCACTTTTTGACTTTTTCCCCAAATTAAGGATTTGGGTACAACTCATGTATTTACCTATATTATCCCTAGGGAAAATCTAAAAGATAAAGAGATACTTTTTGTGATAGGATAATTAATTAAAATAAATGGATAATGATAGGGTTAAAGTAGGAAAAAATTATTTATCTACCTTAAAAAATGAAAAAACAACAATTAATTTAGGACAAACTCAAAGTCAAAAAACAACAGGGGGAGTATTTTAGACTATCACCCAATTAACACTTGAAGGAATTTCAATTCATCTAACTCTACCACTTAAAGGACCAGCATCATTAAGATAGGACTCAATCCAAACCCAATCAAACATATCGCTATAAATAAAGAAATTGGTAAGGCAAGAAGAAATTAAGAATAAAATCGTTATATTTTCACAAAACCAATGGAATAATTTCAAGCATATCAAATTCTTTTGCTCTTATGTTTTTCCTTCCAGGTAAAAAGTGTTGGGGAGTTAAAACTTAAAAGGAGTTAATAAAAAAATCAGCAAGATCCAATTAAATGGAGTAAAAAGTTACTGATCAAGAACCTGAAATTCCATTTGAATTGGTGGCCTTGTCCATGACTTCTTTTCTGTCATTGTGGAAATTAATTCAACTTCCGCACTCAAGGTTGGCTCAGTTTGCCCAGGAAATTTTCTTATCCTAGATGGAGGTAGTCAATTCATCAGCATGACATTGGGAAGAATGATAACTTTGTGCTAAAAATGTAACATATATAGATTAAGTAAAGAATAAAGACTGGAAATACTGCAGTATTAACAAATGAAAATACTCACTTCCAGACCAAGCAATCAATAGCTGCATTGTACTTTGCTCGACCAGATGTTACTTGGAAACTAGTTTTTGCTGTTTGTTTAGGTACAGGAATTTTGATGACAACTCCAAGAGCAAACATTTTTGCCCCAAATACACTTTTGACCTAACAAATTACCATATATAAGCCAACAGCTGAGTGATGAACTTTCATGAAAGACTTCAAAATGTGAGGTAGCAGACCTTAACATTTACTTCCATGCGTGTTCGACCAAGTTCCTTGATTGTTGGCAATACCCGGAAAGGAAGATTAACACCCTCAGTAATACGATACCTATCAAAACCAATAGGTTATAGGAGAAAAAGGAAGATATAGTAGCATATAGGCTGCAGAAACCTAAGAATATAAATGAAATTTGAGTGAAAAGTTCCAAGCTTACTTCATCAATTCAAATTCACCATCTGGTGGAACAAAACTAACAGTCTTTTCCGAGTTAAATCTTGTCAAATTTACACATTGATGGAAAGTAACATCATCCAGTTCTATTGTTTTGCCACTGCAAAATGGTACCTTCGTTAGATAACTAAAATCTTATATAGAGACTAGCATGTATAGGACTAAACTATTATATAGAGACTAACAATCTTCTTGTTCACTGGTACCAACATGTAGAAAAGAAAGAAAGAAAGAAAAAATTTACTGCCCAAAAAGATAATTGAGGTAATATCACCCCAAAGCAAGACAATGTCATCCCCAAAAAAACAAGGGGGGATTGGGGAAAAAATGGCGATCTCAAATAACATCAGTTCAAGAGAAAGACAGAAACAGAACCCATACAGGATAAGATATATGCATAATAAAGGTTACCTTTTAGCTGGACGAGACTTCAGTTGCGACTCTTTCTCAAGTCCAATTTTATCATTTAAACCCAACTTCAGATCAGGCATTCCAGAAAGAAAACACTTCATAAGAATCTTCCCAGTTACATCACAACGCAGAACACTTCCTGTAATAACCAAATTATTTACATGCAACTAAAGTACTAAACACATCATTTAAACAAAAAATTCCAAAGCCGAAAAAACTACTACTCACCTTTTGATGACATTAGAAGGTTAACACTTTCCACAATGTCCAGGAACACCTGCACCAAAAGAATGTTATAATCCAGCAAAATGCCCATGTGCAATACAGAAGAGAAATGAGATATCAAGGTCACCTCATTCTTTTTATAAACAAGACCCTCTCTCCGCCAGCCAACAGCACCTGTAACTTGTAATGTTGCATTTGGAACAGGCTTATCTGAGGGCTATCAATTTTTTGCAGATGGTAATGCAGATTGTCAATGGCAATGGAACTCAACACAGATCAAAGAACAGATTAATTTATTATCTTTTAGAGTAGCAATAGCATGGGCCTAGAAGCATCAATTCTTCAGAATAGCATATCATACAAAAAAGATGACTAACCTTAGATGAAAATGGGGAGCGCACTCCTTCCTGAGTGATGTAAAGTTTTAAAATCTCAGGAGAAAGATTTTGTGGGTAGCCAAAGTCCATGATTTCTGCAATATAAAACCAAGAACCCACCAGTCATCCAACTAGATCATATTTAGACTCACAAACACACACACACAACATCAAGAAAAAGGACAACAAAAAAGAGTGCAAACAATTGTTTGCCCTCCCAGAGAATATGCAAGAATATGCATCTGCAAGAAGACTCACTCAAGTGTCTTTAAGTTACATTACATACCATCTAAGAGTTCATATATCAGAACAAAGTTATTACGAATAGCATCTTCATCAAAAGCCCCACCAAAATAAGATTTGAACAGATTAACCGCCTGCATTCAGAGCAACAACTGTTGGTACCAACTACAGAAAATAAATTCGTAAATTACTCTTTGGAATATTGAACATGCATTTGTTTCTTATTTCAGGACATAGATTTGAAGAACTGTTTGATGCAAGGGAAATAGAGGTGTAGCCAGGTCAGCATTTCAATTGTTGACAAAAGTCCGAATATCAATACTGGCATCTTAGAGAAACAAGACTAAATGGCAAAAGCAACACTGTTCAATAACATTCTAACAATGGAAAATATTGTCCACAACATAGCATAAAAGTAAGTAACGACCTCTACGACAAACTTGAAAGCACAGGCTACATTAGCATTGCTGCTCACAACAATGACAATGTAGACATTGCTGATTCTCATGTAAAAGAAAGAGCAACCTCCAATCTGTCGAACAGGGCATGTTCCAAGCTCTTTTGTTTGCATTATATGCATACGAAAGGCATCCACCATATTTCCCCTGAAAATCAAAATGCAGATAAAGATATGAGGTTCCTAGTTTAACTTAACAACAGAATTTGATTTGTAAGTCTAACCTGAAAGCATAACAAATGAAACCTCCATAAACTAACCAATTATTAAACAAAAGATAGTGAATCTAATATCTAAAACCAAACATTGGATGCTGGTAGCAGACACAAATTTAGCATACATAATTCGGAATTATAGAGCATGTAGGACAAGAGAGTACCCAACATCGTCGCGGTACAGGCGATTGATAAGGACGTCACCGCGGAGATTCAAGAAGTAGATGGCAGAAGCAGCCACCGGCATCTTGATTCCGGAGGATCACGTCCCGGATCAGCGGAACTAAATCTACCGGAAAAACCTTCGGATCAAGGGTAGATTGGTGCAAGTGGGCGTTCAGATCTGAAGAAAAAGCACGTCGCTGAATGCGAAGGCGGTTTCAGTGATTCCGGCGTCGGAGGAGAAGATAGCCGAGAAGAAATGTTTTGGAATAGTCAGCAGTTAGTTTTGTAGTCAATGGACAAATTTTTGTCTTTAAATTTCTGTCCACGATAAAATCGTGAACATTTTACTAAAAGATTAGGGATGAAATTGTCTTACGCTCAAAAGTTAGGGACACAAAAAAAGATTTTACCTAAAAATATTGTTACACTAAAAAA